AATGATGAAGTGGAAGATATTCAAATTGGTAATGATGGAAGTACAACGGCTATAAACGACTATAAATTCAAATGACTACAATGGCTATAAATTCAAATGAATACAGCGGCTATAAACGACTATAATTTTCATTATATACACCAAAGCCTTTAATGTAAACAATTTACAAAAAAACCTGAAAATATTCTTTGATCTATAATCATTCACATCTATTCTCAGAAATCATACACTAAGCCTTATAGCATAAAGCTCATCTTTCCTGTGTGAGATTTACAGAAAAATCAAAACTTCATTTTATATATCTATCTTTCAGAGATATTTATTGTAAGCTTTCTTTGAAAGCAAAAATACCATTTTGTCTTGTAAAAGTGTTGCAAACACTGTGTTCTTGAAATCTTGAGAGTGATTGTGAATCACTTAAGATTTGCAAGGGTTTGGGCTTGTGAAGTCTGTGTAAAATCCGTGGAGGATTGCTCCATTTGTAAAGAGGTTGCTAGCACCCCTGTGAAGCTAGAAGATAGTGGAAAATCTCAAATGAAGCTTAAGGAGTGGACGTAGGCCGAGTTGAAGCCAAACCACTATAAATTTGTTTGCCTTTCTCTCCCTTATCTCTTTATTTTATTGCCATAACTAGATTTCACATTTTTATTATGCTAAAATCATTAACTGACATAGTTGTTAAGACACTTGTTTTAATTATTTTTATTTCATTAATTATATTTATCTATTGTGCTAGTCATAACTTTTATTAGGGTATTATTAATTTTAATTGTAAAAACCTAATTCACCCCCTTCTTAGGTTGTCTTTTGGGCAACAATATATAAACTCTAGCTTGGAATACCTGGGATAGGCCCCAAGGGGTACCCAAGTTTGTGAAGTGGGCTAGACCCACTGGACTCGACCCAGTGGACCCAAAACAAAAGCGCACGCTCGCGCCGCAGTCGCTGTTTGCCCGGTTGGGCTGGCAGGAGAGTTGGGCCTGGGCTTGGGCGTCGGTGCGTGTGCATGGTGTGAGGTTGGGTTGGGCTTGTCTAACCCAATACTTATCTTTTTGGGCAAAAAACATTTGTATTTTATTTATTTATTTTTGAATTTTGGTTTCAAAATTCAAATTAAACATGTCCAAATTTTTTCTCCACCCACACAGGTTCATACCTATTGAATTCCATCTGAACAGGTTTTCTACTTGTTGAATTCACCCAAAAAGGTTTTCTACCTGTTGAATTTGTCCGAATAGGTTTTCTATCTGTTGAAACTTGTTCGGAGAAGCTCCTATATATACCCTGCCATTCCAGCAATTCTTGGAATCCAATTTTTCCTTAGCATTTCATCTTTTTTCTTTTGTTCATCTTTATGCTCTTGCATCTGTCTATCATTTAGTTTCTAAGAAAAAAAAAAGAGTTACAACATTGTTTGGTTCGCCAGACTTGGTTTTGTAGTGCTGCAAATCAAGTTGATGGTCGTTGCATCCTAAGAAGTAGACGCCGTTAAATCTCAAAGCACCGGAGCGAGGGCGAAATCTACTTTAAGGAGAATGTGTCCAACACAAGCCTCAATTTATAATTTCTTTAAGCAATTGATTCAGAATTTAATTTATATAATGATTTTCTGAATTAATTATTTTTTATTTTGTTGTTTATTTTATTTATACATTTATTTACACATACACACATCCATTGTGGGAACATTTAATTCTGTAATACAAATAGGTAATTACACCCAATGTTAATGTTCACACTTATGTAACATTGAGTGTCTGTATGGTTCCATGAGGAGATATTATTTATCAGCATGCATTTGTAATGTGAAAGTGCACATCAACATTTAGTGAGAGATTTTCAAAAGATAACTGATTTAGGATTTTGAGAATGTGAGAGATTTTTTCTATGAAGTAAGGGAGAGAATTTTTTTTTACCTAGAATGAGGAAGAGTTTTTTTTTTTCCCCCATGAAATAAGGGAGAAATTTTCTCCCTAGAATGAGAAGATTTTTCCTAGAAGGATGAGATATCTTTTCCATGTAATAAGGGAGAGATTTTCTCCCTCAAATAAATAATTATTGTTACTTTGTATTTTGTATTAATTTCAAAATAGAAATAAGTGCAAAAAACGCAGTGTGTGTTTGGTCATATTACACCAAATAAGATCTAATAGAATACTCAAAAAAAAAAAATATTAGTTAGATAAAATATAAATCTTAAGAATGAAATTTATTAAAAAAAGCTCCTTTTAAAGTTTGAAACAAAAAAAAAAAAGTAACTAACTTTAACAATGTCATCAACGTGAATTGTGCTGTTGAGAGTGTTGTTCATCTTGTGAAATTAAATAAATAGATTTATGAAAAAAATAAATTATATACCAAGAACACATGCAAATAATTACAACTAAATTTCAACATAAATACACAAAATAATAAAAGGGTAAAGAAACGAAACCGAAGCCTGCACGGTAGCAGTTTCCTTAAAACAGATTTCGCCGCCTCACAGGTCGAGTGCTTGAGGAATCCCGACATTTGTCTCCCAGGATACGACGGTCAAAACCAGCTACGACAGAAGCACTATCTGTCTAGCTTAGCGAACAAAACAGTGGCAGCACCCTCTCATAGTAGGAACTTTCAGGCAAACTGACTTGTGAAATGGAAGTAAAAATTTTCTGTGTTTGAAACTTGACAGGAGGGTCTCAATTTATACATGTATAGGGGAGAGAGGAAGAGCCTCCAGCCTTTATGGCTGTTCATAATGCACCATTAACCTCTGCAATAAAGGCAGGAGTTACAAACCCCATTAATGCAGGAGTTACAAACTTCATTACCTTTTTTCCATGAAGCTAACTTCATGAGGTAATTTCTCATTCAAATCTCAATGGTTTTTGGCCATTCTATCTGTGGTGTAAGGTAATTTCTCATTCAAATTTCAATGGTTTTTGGCCATTCTATCTGTGGTGTAAAGATCTCAATGCAAAGTATCTAGACCCACTTGGACCTAACACAATAGACGGTTGGGACCTACTTTAATATTTAATTAAAGTCACCAAAAAATCATTTTTTTCAATAGAGAGCCCTATGCTGAGCAAGCGGACACTTTAGGCCTCTGAAATTTGGTAAAAAACAGGCTCCAAAAAAAATGTTTACTATTATACCTGTTCATAAAAAATAAAAATAAAAAGGGACTTTCAAAAAGAAACCAAGAAAATTGATTGATGTTTGAATTTTTTTGAAGCAAACTAGATGTTTGTTTCCCAAATATATACAATTAGTTATAGTTGTTAGAATTACTTTTAGGAAGAAAAAAAATTCAACGATGACATTGCTCAAATTTTTACATTCAATCAATTATTTCCCAAGAAATATTAAATGAATTTAGTTGAAAAGTTAGATAAAGCAAGCTTGCAGCTAAAAATGTGAAAATAGTGATATTTAAATTGACATTCCTACAATTTTTTCATTTTTATTAGGTATTCCAGCTCGATTTTGTGGAACTTTAATCTTGGGAGTGTAGGAGTGGTTGTGGATAATCTAAATAAGTACATTTTTTAACTTTTTATGAAATATGAGTTGGGTATGGATTGAGTTTGAAGTGATGTGGTAGAGAGGTGATGAGACTTAAATAAGATGATGTGACTTAAATAAGATAGTGACTTTTTAACTTTTTTAAGTTATGAAAAATATGGCCTTAGACTATATTTGAATTATAGTAATTTTCAGGAAGAATGAAATTGTAAATGTGATTTCGGATCCCATTATTCTAGGATTTGAGGAGTTTCGATTCTTATAAATGTGGATTGAGCTTCTCCCAAACTTGAGGGATTCGTGGAGCCCACCATAAGTCCCGTTTCAATGATTTGAACTGTTCACTTTTTAGGACTCGTTGAATGAAATATTCATGCAAAAAATCAAAATGATAAGACATTAGTAGCTATATGTTTGAATCAAATTTATATTACAAAAAATGAATAGTTATTCTTGAAATTATATTTGTCGTTCAAATTTAAAAAAAAACAAACAAATATGATTCAAATATATAGTTACTGATATTCAATTATTTCGATTTTTTGCATGAATATTCTACTCAATGAGTCAAAAAAGTGAACGGTTCGGATCATCGGAATTGATTTCAAAATTGGCCTATCAAGTTCAAATACTCTCTTAAGTTGAGATCTCAACTTGAGAGAAATCAAACAATTTTTGTAAAAACAACCTATCATAAACTCACTTGCAATTGTTTACCTATTCATGTGACTAACAATATTAGTATTTTTACCCTTGACAATATGAAAGTTCAAAATGAATCAAAAAAATGAATCAAAATCAATCCATAATACGAGCCTAGTCTTTTATTTATTTATATATATATATATAAGGTTTCATAATAAAAGTTTGTTTTGAATTTCGAAAAAGTCAGAACTAGTCCTGAACGTAACTTGAGTGTTTCCCACTAAAGGGCAAATCAATCTCCATTGTCATTAAAAAAAATTAAAAACAAGACTTTAAATACTAAAGAACGAAATCAACAAGACTACTTGGTGTAAAGATCTTGCAAGCACTGAGTAACATGCTAATTGTAATAAACCTTGAAAAGTGGATGTAGACTTAAATTGAATGGAACCACAATACATCATGAAGTTTAATTTACTCTTTCTTTTATCTTTCATTATTTAACATTTGACATTTGTTTTCCTTTCTTTCTCATGAATCGATAAGAATGCAATTATAAATATAAAAAATATTATTATTATTATTATTATTGTTATTTATTTTATTTTTTTTGATAAATAACCAAACTTTATAAAGAAGCATCAAGAAGATGCAAAAAATACAAAAACCGACCACAAAAGCCCAACGAAACTAACAAATCAAATTCTTCACAAAATCTGTAAAAGTCAATACATCTGGATCCACTAATCCTGTCACCCAACTATACAGAACAGAAAGAAGACGCCTCTCTAACCAAGTGATGGAATGAGCGACCCCATGAAACACCCGCCTATTTCACTCTAGCCAAATCAGCCAAAGTAAACAGTGCAAGGCAAGAATCCAAGCCTTTCGACGCCTCTTCCCCACCCTCCCCCCGACCCAACTCTGCAAAACTGCAAACAAAGAAGCCGGCTGAACCCAAACATTGCCACCACAAGCATCCAAAGACGAGAAGAGACCGAACAATGAATAAGCAAATGGTCAACCGATTTCGCAACCTGACCACACAAACAACACCAATTCACCAAAATATGCCCACGACAAATCAAATTATCAATAGTCAAGATACGACCCAAACTCGCCGTCCACACAAAGAAGGCAACCTTGGATGGTGTGCTCGGCACCCAAACACTCTTCCACGGATAGACGAAAGAGCCATTAACAACACACTTATCCTCAACAAGCGCCCCATAGAACGAAGACACCGTGAAAATACCTTTGGCCCTAGGACAAACCCAAACCAAAGCATCATTATCCGCCTGTCCAAGATGTAAATCATATAAAAAACCAAGGAGGTCCACTAACTGATCTAGCTCCCAGTCTTGGACATGACGACACAACTGCACATTCCACACCCTCAACTGCCCCTCCCCAACCCTCACAGCACTAACCAACACCTCAGAATTCACAGCAATAGCAAATATCAAAGGAAAGCGAAACTCTAAAGACAAGTCACCACACTACCTATCCTGCCAAAATCGAACTCTATCCCCCACACCAATTTTGAACCTCACATGTCGCCAGAACGCTTCCCGACCCAACCAAATCCCTTTCCATAACCCGTAACCGTGAGAGTGACCCACCTGTCCCGAGCACCACATCCCCCTAACCACACCAAACTTAGCAACCACCACCCGCCTCCAAAGACGCGCCCTCTCCTCCACAAAACACCACAGCCACTTCCCTAACAAGGCCAAATTAAACAAGACTAACCTCTGAACCCCCAAACCCCCTTCCTCCTTAGACCTACAGATCCGATCCCAAGACACCAAATGGTAATGACCACCCTCACCCCCATCACCCCACAAAAAGTCCCTTTGTAATTTCTCAATTTGCCTTGCTACAGAGACCGGGATCACATGAACAGACATAAAATAGGTTGGGATACTTGATAGAACACTTTTAATCAATGTAAGCCGCCCACCCTTCGACAAATACTGACGTTGCCATCCTGCCAACTGACGACACACCCGATCCACCACTCCTTCCCAAATCCCAGTCGCTTTAAAAGAAGCCCCCAAAGGCAAACCCAAATATGTAACATGTAACGATACCACTTTGCACCTCAACATGGCTGCCAACATCGAAGACCTCGCCGCTTGCCCCACTGGAATCAATTCTGATTTTGCTAGATTAACCCGAAGCTCGAGCACTGCCTCAAAACACAACAACACGCATCTCAAATGTCCAATCTGGGCCTCCTCCGGATCACAAAAAATAAGCGCATCATCTGTATAAAACAAATGAGACACCACCACATTCCCTGGAGCCACTCATACCTCAAATCCATTCAGCAAACCTGCTTGCACCGCCCTTGCCAACAAATGCCCCAAAGCCTCCATAACCAAAATAAACAATAGAGGAGATAAAGGATCACCCTGCCGTAGCCCGCAAAGAGTGGGGAAAAATCCTGCCGGGGAGCCATTAACCAAAACGGACATTCGCACAGTAGAAATACAAAACAGAATCCAACGCCGCCACTTCGCCCCAAAATGCATTCTCTCCAACAAATACATCAAAAAGTCCCAATTCACATTATCGTAGGCCTTCTCAATATCTAATTTACAAATAATCCCCTCATTCTCTTAATGCAACCGCGAGTCCACACATTCATTCGCCACAAGAACCGCATCTAAAATTTGCCTACCCCCCACAAAAGCATTCTGGGATTCCGATACCACCCCTACCAACACACCGCGCAAACGATTTGCCAAAACTTTATCCAACACCACACTCCCTAGAAGACTAATAGGCCGGAAATCTCTAATATCCCCCCCCCCTTTCTTGGGAATTAAGGCAAGAAATGTAGCATTAAGACTTTTCTCAAATTCACCTGACTGATGAAACTACTCAAACATAGCCAACACCTCCAACTTGACCACCCCCTAACAGTGTTGAAAAAATGAAATAGTAAACCTATCCGAACCAGGCGCCTTATCCCAGGCATACTTTGCAAAGCCTTAAACACTTCCTCTTCGGTAAATGGCCTTTCTAGAGAAGTACAGTCTATATCTGAAATAACATCAAAACTTACCCCATCCAAACCCGGACGCCACTCCTTCCTTACGTACCGAAACAAATGCTCATAAAAACCCACAATACTTGCCTTAACCTCTTCTGAGGACGAAAACTCCAGCCCATTTACTCGAATCCGACCAATCTGATTAACCCGCCGGTGAGCATTCGCCATACGATGGAAAAACTTAGTGTTACGATCACCATCCTTCAACCACAGACATCTAGACTTCTGGCGGAAACTAATCTCCTTCATGTGTGCAATATGACCAAATTCCTGCCGAACTTCCTCCCGACGAACCACATCAGCCTCAGACAACCCCTCACCACCTTGTTTCTCCTCCAACACCTGCAAAGCTTCTAAGACTCTAGCCTTCTGCCCCCCCAATTGTCCAAAAACCTCCCTATTCCAACTCTTCAAATCTAACTTAAGGAGTTTTAATTTTTTCGCTAACCGTGAACTAGGCAATCCTGCCACTTTGTAAGTCACCCACCAGCCTTGAACCATCTCCACAAAGCCCTCAGATTGTAACCACATATTCTCAAACCGAAAAGGCATCGGACCACTTCTAATACCCCCACTATCCAACAAAATTGGCCAATGATCTGAAGTGGGACGTTGTAACCGCCGTTGAGTTGCCTAAAAGAAATGCTCCTCCCAATCCCCGGTGACCAGTAATCTATCAATTCGAGACATAGCGCCACCCCCAGACCAAGTGAAAGCACCGCCTTGGAGCGGAAAATCTACCAAACCCATCTCATCAATGAAAGAAGAAAAATGCCGCATAGGACCCCTCCTTGAGGAAGCACCTAATTTCTCCTTCAAACAACGAACTACATTGAAATCCCCACCCGCACACCACGAAACCCCCCAACGATAAGCAATAGCCTATAGCTTCTCCCAAAAGCTTGGTCTCTCTACTCCCCGAACTGGCCCATAAACCCCTGTGAAGGCCCATTTGAAATCATCATTTACATATCAAAAGAGGAGGCAAGACAAAGAAAACCCTCCCAATTCTACATCCTCCTTTACCACCACTCGTTGATCCCAACACAAAAGAACACCCCCAACCACCCCCAGTGCAGGGAGGAAATCCCAATCCACAAATCTACCACCCCAAAGATCCCGAACTACCGCGCCCTCAATACAGTCCATCTTTGTTTCCTGAAGACAAACCACATCTGCCCGTGCACTTCTAAGAACGGATTTCACCAAAACCCGCTTCCCCTTGTCATTCAATCCTCGCATATTCCAAGACAAAATTTTTATCCGCATGATAACAACAATGGTTGATCACGTCCTCGTCTAGTACAACGCACTCCACCTCCCTGAGAACGATCATAATTAACAGTACATTCCAACCTTCGTAATTCCCTAGCATTTCTGTCATTATGGCTACCTGAATCCATCCCTTGCTGAAGAGAAACCTCACTTCTCTAAGATTCCTCTAATGCCGAAAATAATCTCAATGCTTCTTCTTCATGGCCCTCAAAAGAAACCCCTAGTAATTGGCTTACCTCATTAATTTGAGATAAAACCCAAGCAGAAACCTCCTTCAGCGTCGGTATATCAACATCTGAACCAACAGTACCACTTTCAAGCTCAACCTCATCCGAACCAATCACCTCATTCACATCGTTTTCCACAGCCACCTCATCCGAACCTGCCTCAGGCGTAACCACCATGGCCAACTCATCCAGCATACCAGACCAGCGATGTTCAGCATAAACGGGTTGCTGCAGTTGCGATTCTGGAAACCCGGCTGTACTAAGCCGATGCCCATGCCTCTCGACGCCCTCTGAAACTGAAGGGACAGTAGCGACACCAACAGATGACAGCAATGGACCAGTCGGCACCATCTCGGCATTACCTAACGAGTCACGCACCACCGGCAATGCCCCGACTGTGCTTGGACCGAAATCCGCTTTCAGCGAAGAGGTGTGCTGCTCCACTCGCTCTAAAGCTGAAGGAGCATCATCAACGCCACCAGACGACGGCATAGGACTGATGGTGACCATCTCGGCAATACCCATCGAGTCATGCACCGGCGAAGACCCATCATCTGGTCTTGTACCTAACCCAACTTGCAGCGAAGAGAGAAATCGACTGAGAGTTGGGTTTGCATGGGCTTCCACAGAATGAGCCCCTTCATCCCTCCTTACACCATGAGATAGCCTACTTCGAGTATTGGCCCATTTCGGTTTGGGCAGACCCTCAATTCTAGTAGCTTGGACCTTAGCAAAGCCCAAATGACATCTTTGGGTACCCCGATTTAAATCCTGAACTAGGCCCATGTTGGGCAGTTCAAACAAATGACCCCGTCCACCCTTATCCCCATTTGTTGGCCCAAATCTCTACAGATATTCATTGATCTCCAGCCTCCGCCATTTTCGTCGAAGTGATTGCACCAAATCTGTCCCATCCTTATCCGTTCCCCCTCCTCCATCGTGCACCATCTCCGGCACCGTCGGCGCCACCGTAGGTCCCTCCTCCACCCAAACAGGTAAAGAAAACTGCCACAGACCCCATCGGACGACCACCGGTGGCGGAGTACCATGAGAGCTTCTAACTCGCAGCCGAACATAGCCTAGATCCACAGAGGATTCATCGGCTTCCACATAACCACCACACCGATCACCAATGACACGGTAAACATCTTCCCCTCCAAGGTGGATGGGCACCCCCATCACCCGAATCCAAACATTCTTCGCCGGGAAGGTTGTATCTTTCGACGTACAAAGTGCTAAAGGCGACAACCATTCCAACTGGAGATCCCTCCCATCAGCAATCCACCGCCATCGTAACAACACATCTGCCTCATGTCTGCTTGACAAAACAAAGAGGAAGGCTTGGCTACCTAACGGACGCACCTCCACCTTTCCCGAAGTCTTCCACCAACGATTAACCAAATCTGACATTGCAGCAAAGCTCATCCCCTTGCCACCCAACTCTCCCACTCTACCAACAAGCGACCTATCCAACATACGGAACCATTCCACCTCCATTGCACTCCGTATTGCCTTAACCCCGTCAGGCACACCCTCGGCGATGGATAGCGAAGGACGAGGTCTGGACCCTGCCTTACCCTGCATTGGACCACCATAATGCAGCCCAAAACCTTCAAGGACCAAGGCCACACAGTCCCACCCATCCCCAAAATCAGACATGGGAATGAATATTTGATCTCTTCTCTTCCCTGTCGTCACCATTATTTGGAAGAACGAACCACCATTCTCTTCGCGACGTACCCATACTGCCACAGTCCTACTACCCCCAGTTAGCCGACCCAAAAACTGTAAATTATCTGGATTCTGCGAAGCAAACCGCATTCGCGCCGCCATCCAACGCACGTCATGACCATACATCACCACTGCCCGACGAAGCCCCGCATCCCTCTCCACAATCGACACACCGCGACATCCAGACGCTTCCACTGAAACCTCCTCAAACTCAAAAGATCGATCACCAAGGAACAAAATCCGCCGGCGTGGGTGGCAATCATTCAATGCCGGAAACATCCGCAGTCTGCAAAACAATTGTTGTAGTCGTAATATTTAGTGCCGTTTTGGCAACTTAAACAAAAAGCTGCGTTTTGTATTATATTAAATAAACTATTAACTTAACAATTGTTAGAAAGTTAACAATCACTAAACATAACAAAACTACTAGCTACATATACAATTCCCACAACGGAAAACAAATAAATACAATCACAAAAGATATTAAACTCTTTTTCATAAAAATTAAACTCAAAATCTCATATCACAAAATTGTGCTACACGATCACCAACCTCGAGGCTTTGATTTAGCACATTTAATCAAACTTTACATTTATTGCACTTAATTCAATTTAATTTTTAAAATCCAATCACCCCATCAAGACTGAAAAAGTATTTTGTAAAATAGGTATACCATGTCCCTTAGATGATATTGGGTGTCCTATTCTCAATTTTTTTTCTTAAACCTATCGTATTTTATGTGGACTAGCATACCATATCACCTAAGTGTTATGATATACCTATTATATATACAAGATATTTTCTCCTCAAGAATTGCCTACTTGGATAACACCAGAGAGTCACCAGTGTAGGTCAAACACAAGATATGTTTTACTATTGGTTGACAACCTTCAACCTAACTAATCCCCGTATTACAGGTTGCTTTTGGGAAATTCAAGCTTTTAGGATCATTTCTTAGTTGTTAGTTTGGTCTACCAAATAATGCGTCGCGAAAATTAAATATCTATTTTTTTTTATTTAATTCCTAAATTAAGCTCCCAACACCGTAATAGTAATTAAAATGCATAATCATACGATAGGTAACAAAGTAAAAATAATGAAAACTACACTTAAGGTGTCATATGTGAAATGAAGTTGATTATGATCAAATATAGTCTTAATTACAACTCGGAGTAGTCTTGATTACAATATAAACTCATTATACTTTATTTGTTTAATCAATTATGAGATGAATATTCTATAGAATAGGTAAAAAGTATGCTTCTTTATGGGCAAATTGTTATATTGTTCTTAAAATTTACTTAAAATATAAATTATCTTTAATTATGAAAATTACCGTCTCCTACTATCAATGCTTGTTTCTTAACGGCGTTACAAATAAGAAAATGTCCATATTATCGTTAATCTTCAAGTAAAATTACTTTATTGTCCTTGTCTTTTTAATCCACCCAAAGCTATATCAATGTTATTTTTCTCTCCCTCTTCTCTTTTTCTTTCTCATTCTTTGCCGCTATTACCACATCGAATCAACCCTTCCCCATCCTCAACAAACCATTTCAGTATCTCTCACTTATCCCCCACCCTCAATCCATTCCCCAGTCTTGCTCACTACCATAACTACTACTACCTTATCCCCTACTTCTTTTCATCATGTCCAATACAAATCTCAGTTGGCTCTCCTATCACCCTTCACCTCCCTGCCACATTCAAATATGTCACAGAACCTTAAAATCACCAACTATGGCCATCATAACCTCTATCGACGATAGAAGACAACAACCACGACCTCCATTGATGAAGATATGAAGCTTAAGGGGTGACGTACTCCATTGACCATCATCGTGACCTTCGTTGATATCCGAGCAAAGTCAAGGTGTTTTATCTCAAACAGGACTCACACATGGGACTTGAGGAATGTGGTGATTCAGGCTTATTACGGGAAGTGGGTTAAAAGTTTTTTTTTTTTTTTTTTTTCATAAAAAAGTCAAAAAATAACTTTTAATAATCTTTCTAAAACACTTGTAAGACTTTTTGCTGCAACAATTGTTATTTTAATAATTATTTTCAAATTTTGTCAAAAAAAATTATAAAAAAAATTTATTTAAAATGGCAAATGTTAGTAGGGTTCTCTTTTTAGAGCATCTTTAATACTTCTATTTTTTTTCATCAAATATTAATTATTTTCTTCATCAAATTAAAAATTCATCAAGTCATTTATTGAATTAAATAAAAGATTGGTTATAGCGATTCCGGTTTTGATCCGACCTTTGTTATATTCCGGACTCAGATTCTGTGGTTTAATATTGTTATCTATGTTTTGTTTCCCTCTTTTGTCTTTGGGTTTGAGTATTGGAATGTCTTAGGCATGTCCGGAGCAAGTTAGCTGCTGGTTGTTCAAGTTGTTGTTGTCTAGAAAATTACCTCTTCGCTCGAGCGAGACTTTTTGCGCTCGAGCGAACCTTGTGAAATTTGCTTCTTCGCTCGAGCGAGACTTCTTACGTTCGAGCGAGATTTGTGTGCTCTCAATATTTTGCCCAAACACAGAATTTCTGGGAAGGTTGAGGTCTTCGTTCGAGCGAGGCTTCTTGCGCTCAAACGAGGGTGTGCGTCTGTAAAATTTCTGAAGGTATGTATTCTGCGCTTGAGCAAGGTCACTTGTTGTGTTTGGTCGCTCGAGCGACAACTCCTTCGCTCGAGCGAGGGTCGCGTATATCAGTTCGCAGTTGAGCAATTTTATATCACTTTTTGATTTTCTTTTTGCTAAAAACCCTAATCTGGCTTTCTCTCTCTCTCTCTAAAACTCTCTCTCTCTCTGTCTACAAATACTCCTTGATCTAAGCATATCACTACCCTACTCCCTTTGATAAAGAGTTAGAGCATGTATGGGCTTCCTCTTGATCTGAGCAAAGTCGAATTTGGGGCACTTTTGAGGTTCTTCTTCATCTCCTTTGGGCTTCTACACTTGAGCTTCTAAAAACCCTAATCCGGTACTCTCTCTCTCTACAACTCTCTTTCTCTCTCTCTCTACAAATACTCCTTGATCTAAGCAGATCATTGCCCTACTCTCTTTGATAAAGAGTTAGAGCACGTGTGGGCTTCCTCTTGATCCGAGCAAAGTCGAATGTGGGGCACTTTTGAGGTTCTTCTTCATCTCCTTTGGGCTTCTACACTTGAGGTAGGGATATTCTACACCTTAATGTGGTTTGTAACCTACGTATTTGTTGTTTTATATAAATGATGGAATTTGGAAGGTTTGGAAAAATTTAGGGTTTGAATTCAAAAATTGAAAGAGGGGTTTTCTATGTTGGTTTTAGAAAATGGCTATGGGGCTTGTATATGAGATTCTCTAGTGTTAAAATGGTGAAAATTTAGCCTTTGGGTTGGTATTTGAAAAATGTGGAATTTTCCCTAGAATGAGTTAAATAATTATTTTGTATAAATAATGAAATTAATATGAGAAATGTGAAATTGGAAGGATGTATGAATGAATGGTGTAGTTGGATTTGTTAAATCATTCACCTATGGAAATTTGATTAATTATTTGTTATACAGATTTTTTTATCTGTCTAGAAATATCTGTTTTGGGCTATTGGTGGAGGATGGCTATGATTATTGTAAAAATTGCATGAGGACTAGGTAAATGAAAACTTGTCATTTAAATTATGTCATTGAATATGACGGTATGATTGAAACATTGAATATGTTTGTGGATAGTCATTGTATATGAAGATGTTTTAATACATTGTATATATATAATTGTTTGGGAGGAGAAAGAGGATGTACTCTATTGTTTGGGAGGAGATAGATGATGGACTCCATATAAAATTAAGTTGGCCAGAGTGTTTAGGGTGAAAGTCTCGAAATCTTGTGTATATATATGGGTGTTGATTCCCTCGGATGAGAATTCCGTAAAATGGCAAAATGAAAGTGTTGGAGTGATGAATGTATTGAATTGTGAACCATTGAGTTGTAGTCTCATTTTGGTTGATTAGATAATAATGAATTTGGTTAATAGATTAACTTGAAATGAATGAATGGAAATGGATTGAAATATGGTTATCTATATTGAACAATCATGAAAGGAATATAAGTTGATTATGAATATTGAACATTTATCTGACACTTATATCTTAGTTGAACCTCATATACTATGTTAATTTATCTCTATTAGGCTTTGGCTCACCCTACTTGGGAAACTATTTTCAGGTACTAGTGACATGCCACTTTCAAGGACATAACTTGAGAGAACTAAGGGCTGAAGTCTCTATTTTGATTTTATTTGTGCTTAAGTGTTCATTCAAGCTGAGGGCTTTACATGTATAGAGCCTAGGACTCTTTCTTTTGTTATAACCAAGTGATATCTTAGAAAGATGTAAGCTCGAAGGGCATTTATCTTGTTATTATTAACTCGTATTACATGCTGAAGATTTAGAAGGAATGTTTATGAATGTATAATGCATGTAATATCTTTTTGTAATAGAAACTCTGATTAATGAAGTATATCATTTTATTATGTTTATAGATCTTATGTAATGGATTATTTGTATTTTATTTTGGGGGCGTTACATTGGTGAAGGTTGGGATGCTTTCGGACATTATTTAATACTATATTAAAATTGTAGTGAAAGTACTTTGAACATAAATAAAATATTTATGGAATCAATAAAAAGTGAATTGAAATAAGTAAAAAATATCTTGTGCATCAAATTTTTTTTTTTTTTTTTTGGGTTCTAAGTACATTGTTAGCAAGATTCATTTATAAAAAGGCAAGAGGAAGCCCATACGTGCTCTAACTCTTTATCAAAGGGAGTAGGGTAGTGATATGCTTAGATCAAGGAGTATTTGTAGAGAGAGAGAGCCAGATTAGGGTTTTTAACAAAAAGAAAATCAAAAAGTGATATAAAATTGCTCAACTGTGAACTGATATACGCGACCCTCGCTCGAGCGAAGGAGTTGTCGCTCGAGCGCAGAATACATACCTTCAGAAATTTTACAGACGCACACCCTCGCTTGAGTACAAGAAGTCTCGCTTGAACGAAGACCTCAACCTTCGTAGAAATTCTGCGTCTGGGCAAAATATTGAGAGCACACAAATCTCGCTCGAACGCAAGAAGTCTCGCCCGAGCGAAGAAGCAAATTTCACAAGGTTCGCTCGAGCGCAAGAAGTCTCGCTCGAGCGAAGAGGTAATTTTCTAGACAACAACAACTTGAACAACCAGCAGCTAACCTGCTCCGGACATGCCTAAGACATTCTAATACTCAAACCCAAAGACAAAAGAAGGAAACAAGACATAGATAACAATATTAAACCACAGAATCCGAGTCCGGAATATAACAAAGGTCGGATCAAAACCGGAATCGCTATAACCAATCTTTTATTTAATTCAATAAATGACTTGATGAATTTTTAATTTGATGAAGAAAATAATTAATATTTGATGAAAAAAAATAGAAGTATTAAAGATGCTCTAAAAAGAGAACCCTACTAACATTTGCCATTTTAAATAATTTTTTTTTATAATTTTTTTTGACAAAATTTGAAAATAATTATTAAAATAACAATTGTTGCACCAAAAAGTCTTACAAGTGTTTTAGAAAGATTATTAAAAGTTATTTTTTGACTTTTTTATGAAAAAAAAAAAAAAACTTTTAACCTACTACCCATAATAAGCCTGAATCACCACATTCCTCAAGTCCCATGTGTGAGTCCTGTTTGAGATAAAACACCTTGACTTTGCTCGGATCAAGAGGAAGCCCATACGTGCTCTAACTCTTTATCAAAGGGAGTAGGGTAGTGATATGCTTAGATCAAGGAGTATTTGTAGAGAGAGAGAGAGAGTTTTAGAGAGAGAGAGAGCCAGATTAGGGTTTTTAGCAAAAAGAAAATCAAAAAGTGATATAAAATTGCTCAACTGCGAACTAATATACGCGACCCTCGCTCGAGCGAAGGAGTTGTCGCTCGAGCGCAGAATACATACCTTCAGAAATTTTACAGACGCACACCTTCGCTTGAGCACAAGAAGCCTCGCTCGAACGAAGACCTCAACCTTTCCAGAAATTCTGTGTCTGGGCAAAATATTGAGAGCACACAAATCTCGCTCGAACGCAAAAAGTCTCGCTCGAGCGAAGAAGCAAATTTCACAAGGTTCGCTCGAGCGCAAGAAGTCTCGCTCGAGCGAAGAGGTAATTTTCTAGACAACAACAACTTGAACAACCAGCAGCTAACCTGCTCCGGACATGCCTAAGACATTCCAATGCTCAAACCCAAAGACAAAAGAAGGAAACAAGACATAGATAACAATATTAAACTACAGAATCCGAGTCCGAAATATAACAAAAGTCGGATCAAAACCGGAATCGCTATAACTAATCTTTTATTTAATTCAATAAATGACTTGATGAATTTTTAATTTGATGAAGAAAATAATTAATATTTGATGAAAAAAAATAGAAGTATTAAAGATGCTCTAAAAAGAGAACCCCCTACTAACATTTGCCATTTTAAATAATTTTTTTTTATAATTTTTTTTGACAAAATTTGAAAATAATTATTAAAATAACAATTGTTGCACCAAAAAGTCTTACAAGTGTTTTAGAAAGATTATTAAAAATTATTTTTTAACTTTTTTATAGAAAAAAAAAAAAAACTTTTAACCCACTTTCCGTAATATTAATAAGCCTGAATCACCACATTTCTCAAGTCCTATGTGTGAGTCCTGTTTGAGATAAAACACCTCAACAATTGTAAAAAACACCCCCCCAAATAAATAAATAAATAAATAGTAGTTTAGAGAGAGGGGGAGTGAAATAAATAAAAAACACCCCCAAAATAAATAAATAAATAAATAAATAAATAGTGATTTAGAGAGAGGGGGAGTGAAATAAATAAATAGTAGCTTAGAGAGAGGGGGAGTGAAATAAATAAATAGTAGTTTAGAGAGAGGGGGAGTGCTCTTCATATCTAGCAAAAGCTTCCCCACACCACAATCCCCACTCACACTTTGTTTAATTCCAGAAACCAAAAAATAAAAAAAAAAGAAGATTTTAATTCATCCAATTAATGTCAGAGAGCTGTAACTCTCGCCATTTCTCATGGCTCATGAAATCCTGCTACCCAAATCCACACCACCACCACGACCCCCATCGCCACCGTACCACCACCACCAGCACCAGCACCACCACCACCTTCCTCCACCGCCACTGCGAAACCACTATCTCCTCCCTCCCAGACGACCTCCTCCTCGAATGCCTCTCTAGAGTCCCCCATTCCACCCTCCGCTCCATCTCCTTCGTCTGCCGCCGCTGGTCCCACCTCCTCGACTCCTCCGACTTCTACCTCCTCCGCCGTCGCCGCCTCCTTCTCCGCCCCACCGTCTTCGCCGTCGCTGTCTCCGACTCCTCTCTCCACACCGCCAGTCACCGAATCGGCCTCGATTCCTCCTGGAAAACCTCCTCTTTCCTCCCCCAAGACGACCTCGCTCCCCCTTCTCCTGGACTCTTCTCCGGTTTGTCCTCCCACGCGCGCCTCTCCGCCATTGCGCACAAAATCTACATCATCGGCCGCACTTCGATGATCCGATGCGACACCTGGACCGGCACCGTCTCCACCAAATCGGCAATGATTTTCCCTAGGAAGAAATTCGCCGCCGCCGTCGTTGCCGGAAAAATTTACATCGCCGGCGGCTCCGCCAGGACCTCGGCGGTGGAGGAATACGATCCGGATCTCGATACGTGGCGCGTGGTGGCTAACGCGCCGAGGAGGCGGTACGGTTGCATAGGCACGTCTGTGGATGGCATCTTTTATGTGATTGGAGGGCTGAAGATTGGGTCATCGGGAGACGAGTTCTCACGCGCTGCCGGGACGGAGGCGGCGCACGTGTACGCCAGCTCGATGGATTTGTATGACGTGGAGGCGGGAGGGTGGCTGAGGAGCCGGGCGGTGCCGGGCGGAGGGTGCGTGGTGGCGGCGTGTGCGGCGGAGGGACACGTGTACGTGCTGGCAAGCCATGCAGTGGAGCTGTCGTTTTGGAGATTCGACGCGCGTAGAAAGAGTTGCGGCGGCGCATGGTGTAGAATGAAGAGTCCGCCGTTGCCGGCGCAAGTTAGATTGGATAGTACAGTGAGATTTAGTTGTGTTGGGGTTGAGGATAAGGTGGTGATGGTACAAGTAATGGGTTGTATTGATGATTTGTTGAGGAGAGGAGGGAGGAGTAGGAGGGGAATGAAAGAAGCGTTAGTGTTGGTGTACGATAGCGCCTCCGAGGAGTGGCGGAGAGGGGCGGATCTGCCGGAAGTGATTCGACGCGCCGCCTGTGTTTGTGTTGAGTGCTAACTTGCGCGTATTATTATGTAGGGTGGGGTGCGTAGTAGTACAATACAATGTGCCAATTGCACTTTCTTTGTCTTATTTTTTTTACTCACTTTTTTATTTTTTTTCAAATGCTAGTAGTAGAGGAGGCTTGGTTTGAACGCATACTTTGCTTTGTTTGCTGCTTTACTTCACATGAGCCGAGGACATTATTTTTTAAATCAAATTCAAGTGATTTTAAATTGTGTACTTTGAAATTCAAGTCCTTAAATTTATATTATTTTGTGAAGTGAATTTTGAAAATACAATGTGAAGGGGTTATGGAAATAGTATATTACATTTGGGAGGGTAACACGTGATATTTATTTTCTAATAGGTGTTATGGAAAAAGAAAAAAAAGTTGAAACCTCCTTTTTTTTTTTCTTGATCCCCACTATCTCCAATGTATTGGGATTGATTAATTTTTTATTTTTTATTTTTTATTTTTTTTTAGCATGTGTCTATGGGGGTCGAGAAAAAAACGGGTCTCTATCATTTCTGATAAAAAAAATTATTACATATCACTTGGCATTTATTTTCTAAGAGGTGTCATGCAATGAGAATGAAGAATGAAAGATAAAAAAGAAAGAACGAAGAATGACAGATGAAGAGTCATATTGGTAAGTTTAGGGAAAGGAATGGGACTTTTAGTTTAAGTTTTTATATTTATTTTTGGTATCCTACTAATATGTAATTTCGTTTGTATATCTATTTATTTTGTAATAAATTATTTTAAAATAGTGATTTCAACACAAATTTTTGAAATAAAAACAAAAAAGTATCATATGGTGGGGAAATTGAGACATGATGATTATTTCGAGGACCTTTCATGTGCGAATGCTATTATTAAGAAAGGGTAGAGCGACATTTGAGGCGCATATATAGGGAGGGAAACTCCCATGAATAGCTTTGTGTTTATGTTTAATTAAACTACTTGTTTGGTTAATTCAAAAACACAGAACTACATTTGTTTGTGTTTGTTTGATTGTTTGATTTTGGTGCTTCTAAGGTGTGAATGGGTCTCCCTGATCATTATTATTATTGAGATGGGATTATTTGGATTTTTGTACTTTTGTAGGTTTTTTTTAGTTTACTTACCAGATTGAATATTTCCTCATCAGTTGTGACTTTGGAGTTTTGGTAGAAAATTCTAGTTATTCTTGTAGGGATCCTTCAAACTAAGCACTGATTTGACAAGTTTTAAAAAAGTTAAAAAATTAAAAAATATTATTTTATTTAAATCACATCATCTTATTTAAGTCACATTACTTTTCTAACATATCACTTCAAACTAAACTCAAATTCAACCCATATTTCATAAAAAGTAAAAAAGTGTACTTATTTAGATAATTCCAAACAACCCCAAATTTATTTTTTTAATTATTTAATAGAAATATTTTTTATTTATTGCAAAAATTATTTGTTCATACATGAATAAATAGAAGTGTTTTAAGAAGATGATTAAAAGTTGACTTTTGACTTTTAATCATGTTTTTTTTGACATTTTCATAAAGTTATTTGGGAAGGTAAAAATTTTTTTTGACTTTTGTGCTTAATATTTGTTTATGCTATCACATCACAATTAAATGATCAAAATACTCTCACTCAATTTAGGAAATTTATATTTTCACACGTGTGGTTCATTTTGCTACTGAACGGTATAACTGTAATTTCACAGGCCACTTTTAACCACCTTCCTAAATGATTTTGATACTAAAAAAAAAAAGTAAGCTTTTAATTTTTTACCCAAATTACAAAATACAACTTTTATTTTTATTCCCAAATGGCACCACAATCAATCATGAGATGGATGGGACCCTTAAATTACATTATTACATTAGATGAAGAATATTAATTATAACACATGTGACTTCACAGTTGTTAACCTGATTAATCTCTAATTAAAAGATAATTGATTTTGACTACTAAGGAAAGACTCCACATTAATATATTGCTAATAAATCCATATAAAATTTAGGATAAATTATACTAACATTTTTTATAGTTTGGAGTTTATATCACTTTAATTTCTGACTTTTCAATTGTGATAAATTTGACTTTAAATTTTGAATCTTGTTTTAAATAAAGACAATTGAAAATAGCATTGTTCAATTTCAAAGGTAAAGTCGTCAATTTGATAAAATATAAATTAATTTGACAAAAATAAATGTCAAAAAAAATATTTTTAACTTTTTAAAAATTATTTCTAACCACCAAAAATAAAATATAAAATTGATAAATCTTTTACGCATTTATTTATTTATTTATTGTACTAAATTAATTTTTATTATGTGTTTGAATGATAATTATATAATGAAATTGTTGTTTTTATTTTCATTAAATTAGTTTTTATTTTTCCGAAAGTCAAATATAGCGATACTTTGATATCAATATTAAATCAATCCATTAAATTAAAAAATCTAAAACTAAAAACATTTCATATATTAAATATATTGATTACACATTAAAAACCTAACAACCACTCATTACATGATTATCATCCAAACACATAATAAAAATTAATTTGGTAAAATAAATAAATAAATGCATAAACGATTTATTAATTTTACATAATTTTATTTTTAGTGGGTAGAAATAATTTTTTAAAATACAAAAATATGTTTTTGACATTTATTTTTATCAAATTAGTTTACATTTTATCAAATTGACTCCTTTACCTTTGAAATTGAGTAATGATATCTTCAATTGTTCTTATTTGAAACAAAATTCAAAATTTATGATCAAATATGTCACAATTAAAAGGTCAATGACTAAAATGACACGAGTCCCAAACTATAAGAACTATTATTATAATTTGTCCTAAAATTTATTGTTTATGTTCTTGTGAATTTTATAAGTTGTGTTTGTTCGAAGAATAACATCTTGGGATTGAATTATATATCATAATTAATTATGAATCTTGAATTTTGATACAAACTTATCCATTGAATTGATAGCAAAAAATACTTGAGATATCTAATTTATTATTCTTAAAAACTACCTTAATAATGTGTCTGACTAGTGTTAAATTTTAATTTGTCAAATATTCCATTATGTAGAGTCTAATCTCAATGACACATCATTAATGATGATTTAGAGATAATAAATTAAAGGATGTAATATTGTTGTATCGTATGTAAGGGACTATTTAATCCATAAGCAGTGTGGGGGAAAAAAAAAAAAACCTAGACTATACGGGAATATTGAATCCATAAGAGGTGTGGAGAAGACAAAAATTCACTAGAAAGTGAAAATGAACGAGAGACACAAGCTCTGATATTATTCATTTATGGTGTGTATCAAACTCAGTCATCTATATATGCAATCAATCTTGTGGAGACATATTTTATGAATGACAATACGTGGTCAATGGGGCACCGGAGTGCCAGCCGAGATGCCACGTGTCTTGGTTATATTGCCGAGGTTATCTGCGGAGATACCGGAATCCGAGATGAGCGGATAAGGGACAAGAGTCCTAGAATGGGGAAGGACTTCAATCTGGATAAAGATAAAGCTCTTAGGGAGTTTATCTCTATCTGGCTGGGAGTCCAGGATGATCATTGAACCAGAGTCCATTGAAGCTAGGCTTCTACAGGGATTAGGTTAGTGCTGACTACAAAAGTAAGACACCCTCGTGGGTCTAAAGTACGCGTTTTTGTATTCTGACTAGTGAGTTAAGCACTATTTGCTATCTTTGAGAGATAATTAAGGCCTCGTTTGGCAACCGAACTTTTTAGCCAAAAAGTCAAAAAGTTATTAAATTAGCCAAAAAGCCAACAACCCATACCAAAAAGTCAAAGATTCTCTTTTCTCTCCATTTTTTGCACATATTTTCGTAAAAAGCCAAAAAGTCATCCCAAACATACTAGTTTGTTTTAGCTCATATTTTAGCCAAATCGCAAAAAAGTTACTAAATTAGCCTGTTCCCAAACGAGGCCTTAGACTTGATCATCGGAGTGCCCCCGGGTGGACGAACCACTGCCGGAGTCTTATCATTTTGTGATAGGTTATTCAGGCGTGATCTATTCTTTCTGTGCTCTCCTGCTGAGTTTCTGTTTGGCAGTGTGGTCGGAAATCAGCACCCACAATTTGGTGTCGTCTGTGGGAAGCGTAAAGAGAATAGATGACCAACGACGGGCAGAAAGAGAAGATTGGGGATGACATCCCGAGTGGGAGCGACAAACACGCCGATCCTAATGTAGGAGAGGATAGCTGTAATGAAGAGCCCCGGGAGCAGAATCTTGGGAAAAAGAACGTCGGCCAAAAGGGAGATGTGCCAAAGAAGGTAGGTCGAGGCGAGTTTTACAACGAAAGCGACCTCTAGGTATGGAAAGATAGATGCCTGAGGAGGGATGGCGAAATAAAGGGGATGGCAAACAAGTTGGCAGACCTAAAATCGGTTGTCAACTTCATGATGCAGAAGAACATCATGCAGCCGCCGTTTCCATTGGAGGACACATCGATTCCAGCGGCCAAGAACGATGCCCAGAAAGGGGGACAGAAAGTAGTCTCTGCAGTTCCTCTGCATGACAGGATAAAAGAGCATTCGTATCGGCCTTCATGAGAGGTCGAGCGAGGAGAATCGGTGATAGGAGAGTCTCAGAAGACACACCGTGCCAAAGAGCCCTACGTCAAGGAACATCGGCATGTTCAAAGGAGGGAGCTTTGTTTTGACACAGTGAATAAAGGGAGGTCCAAGAGGACTCATCACGACACCGAGAGCAGCGCACCAAAAAAGCTGAAATTCGTTGACAGTCAAGCTCCTGGACGGACTAAGGAGGATTTGAGAGATTACCTCCAGAGGAAACGACAAGATACCGATGTCACATCCCCGGTCAAGTCGAGAACGCTGTTCTTAGTAGAGTTAGATAAGTTTGAGGCCTTGAAAAGGTTTCACTTGCCGAGGTTCCAGATATATGACGGTAAGTCCGACCGAACTTCCACGTCGGTTTATACTTGAACTCAATGGCACTATATACCAGGAACGAACCGTTGCTCTGCAAGGTGTTCCCCTCATCCTCTGGAGAAATTGCATCAGATTGGTTTCACAAGTTACCGAAAGGAACTGTAAAAAGTTGGGAAAGCCTGGCTCAGATGTTCGTGCCCAGGTTTGTTACAAACAAACTGCAGCCGTTGAAGGTAGACTCCCTGATGGCATTGAGAATTGGCGAGGATGAAAGTATCAGGGCTTATGCCAAAAGGTATTATGA